ATTTCAACATCAGCACAATCAGCAAAATGTGAAACTTCTGCCTTCCTTTCTCTCTCATAAATTCTTCATAACCACACATATCTGGAAACTAATCAATCAAGATCTTTCTCCTACGTGCTGGGAACAAGGAGTAGGCTTAGTAATGTGGGAAGTGAATGGGTGTTGACATGAAGGCAGTTTCAGGCAATGGAAACTAATATGTTTTTGTGAGGTTCTCTTCATATGATAAAAAGAAAGGGCATGGAGAAATTTAGCTAGGAGGAGATAGATTATAAGAAAACAAAACCCATAGTTATTGAAATAGTGTCAGCTCTTTGGATTTTTTTTTAATCAGAACCGTTTTTGAGTACTAGATGTCTAAATCATTGCAGAAGATATTAATAGGTAAAAGATAATAAAATAACCCAAATTGATTACAATCTTATACCTTTTATAATATAACTTTAAATGCAAATTGCGTTCAACTGCAAGAAGGGAAATAATGTCCCAAAGGCATTTCAATTAATTGCTGTAGTTAATTACACTCATAATTTTACTTGTGTGACTAATTAAAATCAGCTTTTATGGGTGTATATGGATTTATTTCTGATACTAAAAGCCCCAAACAGCGGGTTATTTTTAGGAAATATATTTAAACTTCTTAATGAAAACTGCATGTTCCCATTCTCGGCAGCCGGCTCGAATGAGTTGTGTCTGTGTTCAGAAAGAGTTTGGAGGGCATCAAGAAGACAAACTGCCCGGGCTTTCTCCAGCCTGGCTGAGGAGGTCACTGTGGCCTTGATGATCCTGCTCCGTTGCTCACGCTCCCAAATTCTTTGATTGCTTTTTATCCTGCGATGGGCACCGAGTCCGCGGCGGCGGCCCCGAGGTGTTGGCCAGCTCCACCAGCAGCGTCTGGAAATGTTTCCCCTGTTCCCTGCAGCTGCCGGTGCGGCACTTTGCAGCAGGCTCCTCAACCGGCCCGAAGCAACGCTACTTTTGGGGGGGTTTTCTTGCGGTGTGATGTTTGCGCCGTGTCTCTGCCACCCGAAGCTCCAGGGCTACCTGAAACATGGTGGGGAAGGCAGCGCCTGGCTGTTTTATTCCCCGAGATGAGCCCCCGGCAGATGCCCGCAGCAAGGGGGTTGCCGGCCTTGTTGGGCTCCCCTCAGCCTGACTGAAAGGGACCCTCAGAAGATGGCGGCCAGCAGCAGGCGAGGTCTGTGGGTGCCCAGCCCCTAGCCCGCCACCCCTGCGCGGTGCTGAGAGGGGTTTTTTTCTCTTTTCTTGCCTTTTTTTTCTCCCCCCTCCCCGCGCTTTTTTTTTCCTTGCAGTTCACTTTTTAAGTGGCAGGACTGCCCTGCCCGGCATTTGAACCCGACTCCGGTGACAGCGGGTGC